TACACAGAATTACCTCCACTACAGAGCATCAAAATATAAACCCAGGCAAAAACATAAAACATTTTATTACGTGACAAAATTTACGCTGGACTGCCTTAAATGTAATCCTATTTGCAATAGAGTTTTCTACCGCCCACTTTATCAACGCAATAAACCGCTTGGTAGAATTCCTATCCAAATTACTCTTCAAAATCCCCGCAATTCGGAAAAACCTGACTTGAGCCCCGAACGCAGACCGTCATTACACGTGACGTTAGAACCACCTGCACCTTAAATATAAAATCCATTCCTTTCCCCTTGCTAATCAATCAGATGTCCAAAACAAACCAAAGCAGTTGCACAGAGCAAACCAATCAGTTGACCACCATCCAAAAAAATGTAATGCTATTCTAAGCAACAACGTAGTAAGCGCCAAAAATGGATTTTGTAGCGTGTTTAAATAAAGTACAATAAAGTTACAATACACTAGATACAAAATAGTATCATGTATGTATCAAGTTTGATAAACGCCATTTATAGACACAGTTTATAAACGAGTTGCTTACTATACTTTTTCTACGACAAATACTTATTAATATCTTAAAATGATTTAAATCAAATATTTGTATAAAGCGCCATCTATAAAATAATAGAGGAATCTGTGTTAGGTACCGTCAAATGTCAAATTTGTATGTGTTATAAAGGTTATAATTTAAGTTATAGTTTACTGCCGGCGAAATTAAAATGTTCATATAAACTTTTCAAATATTGGCGTTGAGAAACTAGGTATTTAATACTTTTATATTTGTGTATTGAGATAATAATATAATTTTCACATTTAGTATTGTTTAACAAGAAAGGCACTGTATTTTAACGCTTGTATGACATTTGACAACTGTCAACTAACTTAAAACTAACTTCAGCCCGTGACTAAAGCGCCATAAAACCACAACTTGTCAATGTGTATTGAAAAGGTCACTTAGTGTCATGGAAACATGTACGATAAAGGGCGTTTTAAAGGTGGGAGTAGAAAAACAATTATAAAACATTATAACAAAAAAATCAGCATTTTGCCATGGCGTTTATAAGGTTGTTTTAGCTTAGTATTCAATTAGTACAGAGAAAAGAAATTTAATTTAGACACCACCATTTATCATTGTTTTATATGCAATTGTAGTTTTATAATTATTTATTTCGTTAAAAGCATTACAATTTTTTATTTTGTACGTAGTAACAAAACATTAAATTCGTTATTTTTTAAAATACATTTTCTAAATCAAGAATCATTTAAACTTAACTGTAAAATAATTTTGAAATCATTTGTTTTACATATTTTTTAAAATAATAGGTATTATAGGTATTACCGTTTCACTAAAATCACCAAAATACTATTTGATTTAAATAAATTAATTAAACTCTTAAAAAAATTCATTTACTTCAAGGTAAAATCCGCAAACATGCAATTTTACTCAGCTTAATGGAGAAAATTTCCATTGTAGGGCGTTTTTCCCGACTCTTTCCTCTAATCTTTGAAACATTTTATATTCAACAAGTGTTTAAACTTAAAACAATCTACCAGCTATAAAAAGGAACGAACTTTCATCGTATCCAATTAGTTTCCGAGGGCGTTTCGGATATACTTTTTAGAATTAATGGGAAAATGTAGTCCTCTTTAAATTATACTGAATGATTTTTTATTATAATTGAATTTAAAGTTTTTTTGTCAACTTATATCTAAATCTATTCTTAACTACATTTATTAAAACAAACTAAACTGGTCAAAAATTTCATTGTGGTTTGTTAAAATTAATATACAAAAATAAATGATATTGGCTTTTAACAACATTAATAAAACTGTTAAAATTTCTAGAACCACTAAAAAAGAAGTTATACAAGTTTAATTTTCGTTAAAAGTATGCTATAATTGTAAATAATATATGCTATACATATATGCAATATTGAAACTAAAGTTACGAATTAATAAAGATTGGTTTAAAATGGTTTAAGCTAAAACAATTTTGGAAGCTTCTACAAAAATCGGTTAATTTATCAGTATTGAAAAATGCCTGAATTAGGATGTAAAGAAAATGTTTAGAAATAGTTTAAACTTATTACGAAATTCGAGTTCTGTTTGTAAATATCAATTTTATTTGTCAATAAATATTGTTCATAATATTTTAAAGTTGAATATATTATTTGTGTTGCTGTTTTGAGCTAAACTTTTTGCATCTTTGTTTGTTTTTATGGGTAAAAAATAATACTTTGTTGTTGGCCGAAAACGATTAGTTACTTTTAACTCTCAGAAATAGTAAAGGTGACTTAAGATTAAAGATTTATTTCTATTCTTATAGATGTATAAACTTTCATGACTATCTAGCAGACTTGGTTCCCTGACTTCCTTAATAAGTTTAAGGTTGTCAAATCCTATTCTATGACCATCATCAAGTTTATGTTGGGCAACACTCGATTTCTCTGTCCTACCAAATCTAGCATGGGCCAAGTGCCCTTTGAATCTTACTTAGATGGATCGTTTAGTTTGTCCAGCATATTTCTTGTCACAATCTTGATAGTTTATTTCGTGGGTCCCTGACTTTTCAATTTTAGGAATATTATCTTTTGGGTTACCTAAAAGGGTCTGGAGTGTGTAACTGCTTAAAGTTAAAGCAATTTTGAAGTCCTGTTTTCGAAAAATCCCTTTCAGACCTCGACTGTACTGTGGTTTGAAAGGAATGGCCATAAACTTGACTTCTGTTTGAAAAGTCGAAACTTAAATTTAATTTACTTATGTAATGGGGTGGGTTCAAAACCAAATGTTGTCTCTAGCAATGTCTTTTATAAAACTGAGCTCTTTCTTGTATCTACTGTTACTAAGTGGAAAGTTTACCAACCTACGAACAAGAAAGTTTAAACTAGCCTGCTTATGTTGTGTGCAGTGGCTCGATTCTGAAGTGATGTAAAGTGCAGTGTGTTTTATTTTGGGAATATTTCTAATATTTGTTTAACATATCATCAAAGTTGTCCTTTTTCAAGTTTGTATTTTTAGGGTTTCAACATTTTAAATATTTTTTACCAGTTTTTAATTTAATTATCACACACATTTTATTTAAATATTGTACAGGTATCTAGTATTGATAAAAGTAAATATCTGTACCTCAGAGAAAAGTATAGCAAGTCTAAAAACCTGACTTTGAAGGAGAGCCGTTTAAAGCTTTGGAACGCAGAATTTTTGTTTTGTTTGGAGTACAGATAAATGGAGTTCTATAATTATAGTGGTATAATTTTGTCAAAGTTTTATATGTTTTATATGTTTATTATGGTTTTTGCAGACTTTACAATATCATAGGGTAATTGTAGAATTTATAATTTTGCTGAAATAACCTTAAATTACTAACTATCGCATAAATAAAATGTTAAAATGTCTTTTTTCTACTCCTATTACGGAATTTGACCCTTCTAATATCACTTTTATCTATGGAATGACATATATTCCGTAAAGTGTTACAGAATGAAATATTCTATTATCTGATGACAGATCTGTTTTTAATATCTAACAAATTTTAGACCGATTCAACCTCACTTTCTTCCAATTAAATTATTTTTCTATGGTATTTTTTGGAAACGTAGAAAAAGTATAGTCTGAAACACGTTTGGAATAGCATATTCCGGTCTCGTGAAACCGTCAAACTCGCCTTCAGCTCGTGTGACAAACTCTTCACTCGAGCGGAATATGCTGTATTCCAAACTTCTTACAGAATATACTATTTTCCAATACCATTATCGGCTTAGGGACGGTTTATCAATGTCTGGTTAAAGTTACAGTTATCTGGCAGATAATCTCCATGGATACCTACTTTTTCTCACAACGATCGATATGGAATTTAACTGACAGATAGACTAACTGGAACTAAACCAGAGATTGATAAACCGGCCTTCATTGTCATAAGTAGGTCATTTTTAACAGTGCAAAAATAGTATATTCAAGAACTAATGTCATAAGACGTCATTTTGTCGCACGCGGACAATTTATAAAACGAGCGGAGAAGGAGCGAGTTTTGAAATGAACGAGTGCGACAAAAGGTCTTATGACATGAGTTCTTTATGCTATTTTATCTATTTTGCAAAAATTTTATAAAAAAAATTAATTTTATACCTTAAATTTAATTTGGTCGAATTTTACTTTAGATAGTTGGTATCACAGTCATTGGTTTGACAGTTCATCTCAAAATCGATTCGCCATGCCGTCCTTAATTTACTTATTTACAATAAGCGGCTGTTAATGTTAAAGAAGAAAAAAAGGATTTTCTTTCGTGTTAAACAAAATTTATTGCCAGAAAAGTCTCGTAAGTACTTTCATATGTTCATATAAACTTTTCAAATATTGGCGTTAAGAAACTATTTAATACTTTTGTATTTTTGTATTGAGATAATAAAATAATTTTCACATTTAGTATTATTTAACGATTGTATGACATTTGACAACTGTCAACTAACTTTAAACTAACTTCAGCCCGTGACTAGAAACCTGTTGCTAACTTTAGCCCATGACTAAAGCGCCATAAAGCCACAACTTGTCAATGTGTATTTAAAAGGTCACTTAGTGTCATGGAAACATGTACGATAGGGGGCGTTTTAAAGATAGGAGTAGATAAAGTATTTTTTGCACTGCAATTAAATCAGCACATATAAATACCTTAATTAAATAATTTTTATTCAAGAAAAAAATTCATTTAATTTTTATTGTTATTAATATTAATAGGTACTAACATAACAATTTATTGGAAAGCCAATAGGTCAAAAAAATTTTGGACATATGTGTCAAAATAGAATAATTGTAAATATCAACGTGTTTTCTTCACATTTTTAGTAATAATTTATAAAATTGTTATGGTGAAAAAATGGAGAAAAAATAATGTATTAAACTCGCTTTATGTTCTTGTTGCATAAATTACTATTTTATTTCAATGGTACAACAAAGATCCACACAGGTAGACATGCGAACCTAAAAAAAAATATATTTTCAGGGATATATTTCGCGAGCACTCCAATCGTGCCAACCGCCTACTTGACTCTTTATTATGTAAAGCCAAAGACTACTTGGTGGCGAAAAATCACCGATCCGTTAAAACTCCGGCATTTGACGTGATTTTCCGGGGAAAACCCTCCGGCCTTGAGCAGGGCATGTTGAAAACAGAAGACGGCTACGTGCAGGACCTGTCGACGCTATCCAGGATGCAAGGACTCAGCTTGTACGAGGACGATAACGACCTTGTCGTTTATGGCAGTTTAACTTTAAGGGAATTTAAGGTAAGATATGAATAAAAAGGAGAGCGCTTTCTGGAAATTGGCTCATTATTGTATATTATTATACGAGAGATAATGCAAGCTAATATTCACGAGGATGAGGTTTACGTCTCGAGTCGCTAGACGAGAGACCTAAATCATCCGAGTGAATATTGCGCATAATTTTGAGTGTAATACTATACTTTATCTACTCCAATAGGTAGATAATTAAATGATTTTTAAAATTAAATAAATAAAATCTGACATCTGTCAAATGGTTAACCTTACTTTTTACCAATTTTAAATGTTATTATAGTCGCCTTCTTCCAATTTAAAACTAGATTGATTCAAATCACAGTGAATACTGAAATCGGCCAATCACTGATGCCTAACAACGTGAATACTGAGTTTATTATTCACTTTGTTAGGCAAAATTTACAATGCTTAACAATATTCACGGAAAAACACAAAAATTATGCAACAGGAGTAGATAAAGTTATTTTATTTTAAGCCATTAATGTCACACTTAAGATTATCATTAAGGTTATTACAGCTAATATTCAGAACGATTTTCGCATTGTGGTGATTTTTATTGATCAATAAGCATTTTCGGTCTTTGCCTAACTTTGCTTACAGTCTGCAATTACTTGCAGCAACTTTCTTGCATGCAACTTTCTTGACTGCAAGTTTTATTGCTGACTGTAAACACTTTGCAATTCTAACCGAACTGGCAATAAAAATCGAGCAAGACCGATAATTTAAAACGGCAATAAACTTGCACGAAACGTCGCTATGCGCATGCCTTTGTGCAAGAAAGTTGCATGCAAGAAAGTTGCTGCAAGTAATTGCAGACTGTAATACGGGCTTAACATATTATGGTGTCCGGAAATGCCAACCACCTCGTTGTGATTTTATTGCAAATGTGCTTCGCACCAGGCACTGACAGACAGCGAAGGGGAGTTCTCAGCGAAATTTTTTCGAGTGTGCTTTGCGACACAGGGCTACCCGACACCGATTAGGACCAAAAGTCCGAAACAAGTGACTAACGGTGCCAGGTGCAAAGCACATTCAAAATAAAAGCGCAGTGTACCTGGTGATTGGCATTTTTGCATATTGATAGGCACTACTCCTCTATTAGAAAACCATGATGACATTGTCACATACTTCCTGTGGACATTGTACGCTGGGCGAGTCACCTATAGTATACTACGGCAAAAATCTTTTTGGCCAGCAGTGGAGTCACAGTTACTCCAGCTATATTGTTACAAAGCAGAGTGGGATTTCTGCTAAACACATAGATGGCCACGTCCGCTGGACGGTAGATCTCGCTGATAACTTTCGTTCACTGTGTTGCCACCGCTGTTCCTGTGGCAGTGCTACTATAAGAACGGCGGGTGCATTTTGTTTTGGGTGTGCTTTGCGCCACAGGTCTACTTAGTACTCGGTAAGGACCAAAAGTCCAAAACAGGCTGTCTGTCTGTGCATGAACACGAGGTGATTGGCATTTTTAGCATATTTCAATAAGTCCTCTAGGAGCCAAACTGGCATATTAGGGTGTCCTTTGGATCATTTTAATTTTTTTTATTCCATTGTTATTTTATTTTCAATTTTTTTATTTTACCAGTATTCTTCTATGTGTATTCTTTTATGGATTTTTTTTAATTGAAGAGCTACAAGTTTCACTTTTAAATTTTTATATTTTCTAACAATCCAATAATTTGAAGTGTTAATACAGTTTGTAGTCCAGTTCGAGGTAAACTTAGTTGCCTAATCAGCAGAAGTAACTCACCTTTAGAGAAGGTCTCTGATGAAACAAGATGCCTGAGAGTTTTTTTAGATCAATGCTACTGCAATAATTATAATTATAGTTGCAATAATTATTGTTATAAACCAAAATGTCCTCTAATGGCTTCAGACCCAGTTCTGGAGGAATATATATTTTTTTAGTTTAACTGGCAATTAGGGTAGAATAAATGGTATCCTTGCGATACTTTAGTGCTGGGGTTTGATACAACTATGGATTTGGTATGTCCTGTACCGTTTGACTGAAGTTGACATCTGATCGGGTGATCGGATGCAGCTAGGTAATATTTTGGTTTTATGAGGAAACATTTTAAAAATATTTCTCCAGTGCAAAAAAAACCGTATGTTTTGTCATAACAGTTAACTATTAAACTATTCCCATTAGAAAAGTAATTTAAAGGTGGAATAATCATAATATCGTCAGTAGAAGAAAAGGATCGAATTTTGGATAATAAATGTTTTTTTATGAGATCGGAACTTTTAAAATTATTAAAATTAATAATTAGAATTAACTATATCTGTTTTTATCCTTATATTTTTTCATAAGGATAAATCTTAGATATAGATAATTGGTCTTATAAATAATTTGATAAAAAAGATGATTCTATGAACATAATTTCGCTAATTTCAAACATTTATAATCTAGAATATTCTAACCATGAAAATGAAATTGTTTTAAAAAGCATTTTAACAAAACTTTGTAAATTATAATTATTTTGTATTAGAAGTTGAGTCTTTGAAAGTGCGTCTAAATTATGTCTATATTCATAGGAAATGTCAAAAAATTTTATTGAATGTTGTTATTATTTTATTATAGTGGTCATTTTTTTTACCAAATTAAGATTATTAACGTTGTGAGGGCATTGTAAGCGTCTGTAAATTTTTTAAATTTTCTTTTGACTAAATCAAGATCCGATTAATCTAGATTGCCAATAATAAATTACAGTTGAACCATTAATTAAACCTCGTTTTGGTCGATTGCATAACAATTTATTAAGGGAATTTTTAGATTTTGAAGGGCCAGGTCGTGAAGGACATTGAGAAAATGTGAAATAGTATTTGCAACAGGAATGTTAAAAATGCTGCTTTATGGAATTTAGATGAAAAAGAGGTAATTTTGTGACATCTAAATCGTTATTGTAAATAGTAAAACCTCGTGTCTACGCTAGATAAGTTCAAAGGGTAAGCGGTGATTTGTTAAGGGGCATTTTTCGAATATTGAATTGTTAGTCCGATGACTAAATGAATGGAACGGCTAACCGGCTAATTAACTGAGCTAAGCTAGATTAACCGGTTAAGCCACTAGCTAATTAGCTAAGCTAATTAAGTTAACCAGTTAAATTAGCTAAACTGATCAGTTAGCTAGCTAATTAACTTAGCTAACTTTTTTAGCTAAATTGTACAGCCCTAGTTTCTATAATCAATTTTTGCCTGAAAATTTTAAAGATCGCTTAATTCAATTAACGCATTCAATCTCTTATGCCAGGGAAATATATGAAATTTAAAGCAGTAATTGATTACGAATTCTGAATTAATTGGATACAGCAAATTTTGGTTGTTGGTGAATAATTTATTAAGTGCCTACTGTAATTTTTTTTTAATAAGGTTATTTACATAAATTAAAATAAGACTTGTTGGTTTATTATTGAATAAGTGACTTCTGTATCTATTAAATTTTTGAGATTAAAAAGTTAAAGAGTAATGAAAGGTAAATTAGCAATATTTCTTTTGGCATGAAAAATAATAAAAGCAAAAATCATATATAAAATAAATAAAATTAAAATTAGGAAATATTAAAAGGGATGCAAAAGGAACGAAAAACTTAAATACTTGATTAATTTAAATGCGTTGATTATCTCCAATTGGCTCAGGGGACGAAAATACGAAATTCAGGAGCTGTCTAATGAATCTTCAAGGGGTAGAAAATTACAATGATTTTCGTCGATGAGTATCCTGTTTGCAGCGACATATTTGTTAAATTAAAACACTTTTTAATTAATTTATTTTGTAACAAAAATTAGAGAAACAATGTTGGTACAATTTAATTTATAAATTGCAAAAAAGCTGGCGCTTCTTAAAATATTAAAAAATTAACTAAAAACCTTTTAAAATTAAAAAATTTTATAACTTTTTAATTCCTGGTAATTTTGAAACAAATTAATTTCGTATGGACGAAATTTAGTTTAATTTAATTTTAGTTGCAAACACTATGGAACAGTCTTAACATTATCAACAAAATAAGTTCGTGAATATTTTTGTGTAAATGCTTATTTCTGATAAATAATCTTGTACGCATAAAAGCGTACTTTTTATCAAGAGGTTATTATAATTTTTGTAACAGCGCGCGGCAGCGTTTTATAACAGTGACTTTTGATTGTCAATCTTGTTGCTAAATAATAGTTATTTGTTTAAAAAGTGTTTAAGTTGCTCACGAGGCAGTCATGCCGAGTGTGCATTAACACGAGCTTGAAGAAAGCTTTTCTCACAAGTGAAACACAATGTTTTTTCTACGACCCTTTTATTTTTATTATATTCAAATACAAAACAAAATAACCTATAAACGTGTTGACAGCTGTTAAAATTACTTAAAATCAATAAACTTGGAAAATTGGAATTTATTATACAAACACAATTAATTAATTAATAAAACGTTGTTTAATATTCCGAATTTATTGGGACTGTACGCATTAGCTTTTTTTTTAAATGCAATCAAGTTTGTAAATTTACTGATATTTACGTTCTTGTTAAGATATGTAATAAAACATAATGGGCATAAAATGGATGAAAAATGGACCAAAACTATATTTCCTCCTAAATTTTCCTTCACACATCAACAATCAAATTTTTGTTGATTACTTCATATACTTTTTTAGATTTTTTAGCTTTTTAGCTTTCACAGATTTTTTAATATTAAAATTATTTTAGAGAATCACTCATTTTATTAAAACCAATTTAAATGTTTAAATGGTGAACTAGATGTAGATGACATTATGTCATTAACATACCTACACGTCATAAGAAAATAAGAGATTAATGAGTAATTTTTAAATAATACATTCGTGGTACAATTTTCAAACATTAATTAATTATAGAAAATACATTTTTAAAGGAGTTTTAACAAAGTAAACGATTTCATAGTTGAAATGGTAATGGTCTGCAGAATGCAGAAAAAAATATGCGAAAAGAAAGTTTTTAAAACCACCCTTTATGATTATATTCGT